TAAATTACTCGTTGTATCACAATTAGCATTTTAAATTTAGTAATTTTTTTAGTAATTTTCAACTGTCCCATGACTTTTGATAACTGATAATTCAGACGTAAATAATGACCGGATATAGTAGTTAAAGAATATATTATTTTTATAATTTACATTAATGAAAATTGTCCGGTTCTTATACAAATCACAATCAATGTATATATATAATTTATTTATTTTTAATAATCATTTTTATTATGTAAAATCATTTTGATCTATACTAACCTCCAAAGAAGGTAAGCAATCTTTTAAGATCCATTCATCACAGATCTAATTCAAAGAATATAAGAAATATTTATAAGAAATCAATGAAATAAAAAAAAATTGTAGATCGATCCACGAATTTACACAATCTCAAGAAGGTAAGTCTCACACAAAAATATCTGAAAATGGATAAACATTTGTTTTAAAACTTTAAAATTTACAAGTTTAGTGTAAATTTTTCATTGGACAAAACAAAAATGTTTATTATTTAAACATTTTGCTTTTTCGAATAGGATCTGGAAATAATATTTCTAGTTTAGTCGTAGTGTTCTTAATTCTGAAATTTTTAAAATGTAAAGTTTTATTATTATATTATTTTCATTACAAATAATTAATAAAAATTCTAATAATAAAAAAAAAGATTACTTATAATTAGTGATATGAAACATACCAATTATTCTTGTGAATAGTAATAATAAGAATTAAAAATTTTTATTTCTCACGAAAAAAATCTTTTCTCTTTTACTAATAATTATTAAATTATTATTACATAATAATAACTTTTGGTTTTTAAATATATATTTAAACCAATAGAATTCGATTTCTTTTTAAGAAGACAAAATATTAGCCCGAAAAAATGATTAGGCCTTATTAAAAAAATTCCCGCTCAAAGAAAAGTATTTAAATTTGTTTTCTCTAATGTTTCTTCAGATAGATTTGCTGATTCAATTTTGAATTTAATCTCCAGTATCCAGAGTTAAAGAATTTTTGATATATTGAGACACTTGTTTCATTTTTCTATTTTTTGTTGAGTTAATTAAATTGATTTAGCTATTTCTGCCGTCTGTGGCGCTAATGATGATGACTCTTGTTTGTCACGCATAATAAGACGAACCATGCATAAGTTCGGTTGAAATTGGGAGAATGTAATTTCCACCAAGAAAATGACATAATTTAAATGGTTTGGAGCTAGGTGTCAATATATTCTTTACTACTATATCCAGAGTAACCCTATAATTATTTACTGCTGTATTGTTAGATATTACTCCAGTTAGTACACCTGGTTTGGATGACTTAGGTAAGTTTTATTCATCAAGAGTAATAACCTATACATGTGTCTTTTTCTTAAATAAAAATAATCATGATCACAATACTCGATTAAAAATAATTACTTTTATTTTCGTGTCACATCAGTTTCCATCACAAAAATATTCCTTGAATATTCACAATATCTTTTTTATCAAAACGATCTATGATATTATCCCTAGTAATATCTCTTGGATTAAAGCTTTAAAATGAAAAAAATTATTTGCATTTTGATATTTAGGAAAAAAATTTCAACGGCAAATAAAATCAGATACAAAAATTTTTTAACTTCGTATAAGGATCTTTTTTATGAAAAATATGATGTATTCGTAAAAAAATCTCACATTATGAGAAGACAAACCATTAATCAACTAAATGAGATTACATAAACGAATTATTTATTAATTAATAAAAAAATTATATTTAATTAATTAAAAAATTATATTTAATTAATTAAAAAATTATATTTAATTAATTAAAAAATGAAAAACTCGCTATCAACATCAATTTTGTGTGATGAAAAAAGGAAAAGAAAGAAATCACTAGAATAATATTTTTTATTTTTCTATCTTTTTTTAAAAAAATTAATATTAAAACAAACCTTATTATAAGAGGCAAGAATTTTCTTCTGTTTTTCTCTCTATTTCTCAATTAATAATAATTAGATTAGATATCGAGAAATACGTAATGATAACAATAGCAACTATACAGTACAATAATAGTAAATGTTTTTTAACGCATCAGCTTTATTAGTTGATTTCATAAATTTTTATCATATGACTAAAACCAAGGGTCGGGGTTAGTCCAGGGGCAAGATCTGCACTTTGTGTCACATCTGTTGAATATCAATTTTTACTTATCTGTCAACCAATAAACTTCGTTAAAAAAAACCCCAATAATTCCTAACACTATCAAATGCATTAATAAATACTAATTAAAATAAGTAAATTATAAAAGAATCATTGAAATAACCAAACTGCAAAGTACCACCACCAATCATAACAGGAAACTGTTTACATTGTACAATCCTCCACAAAAGTAATATAAATAAACACACATTTACCATTTACCAATTTCGTTTATAGTAGTTGAATATGTTGTGAACCATACACACATTGATTGAATCACAAATATTATAAAAATGCGATACGATGATTTTTTTAAAAGTGAATTTCTATTTATTTCGAAAGCAAAAAAATGGCAAATAAAATTTCCATAGAATTATTGATGATGATTTTAAATAATGTTCAATCACCTCGTTCAACTCAAGATTTATTTTCATCGTTATTAGTTAATCGAATCTGGTGTAGAGTTACTATACCTATACTTTGGGAATTACCTTTTGGTCAAGAATGTACTATGGACGATACGAAATTAAGGAAACGAGCATTATGTATTCGAACTTATATATCATGTATGGATACTCAAGCTAGAACTTTACTTACTCAAAATGGATATGATTTATCATCGTCACCTCCGCAAGCCGCTTTTGATTATCCATCATTCGCTCATAAATTTGGAACTGATAATTTAATTTATTTTATTTCCGTATATTCGCAACAAATTATTGGTTCAGATCAAGATAATGACAATGATGATTATAATAACAAATCGAGAATATTATTTCGTGAGATATGTAAATTAATATTAAATCGTTGTTCATTTCTGGATTATTTTAAATTGGCGGGAGTTTCCAAAATTTTTTTTAGAAATTTTAGTAATTATAGTGATTTAATTGGTTTAATTCCCAAGTTGCCTGATACCCCAAAAGTGCTTAAAAAATTAGAAACGTTCGTTTTGGTGAAGGTGAATGATGATGAACTGATTAAACCGTTATATGAATCATTAGCATTGATTTGTGATGATATACTAAATATGGATTTGCAATTTATTTCACATCAATATCCTCAGTTATTACCGGAATTTATCAGTGCCCAAAAACGGTTAGAAAATTTATCGATTGCTCATAGTGAACTTCCTATCCCGATGTTTTGTGCTATTATTAGTCAAAAAGAAACTTTAGAGAGTCTTCGTTTAAAATCAGTAAATTTTCATCAACTCGAGGGAGAATCGTCACCAACTGGAGAATTCGTTTCACTTCAAAAGCTTTATATTGCGAATTGTACTGGATTGGATAATTCGAATTGTTTATCTTTGGCTTCATCCTTTACGCAATTAAGTAATTTTCATTGTTATCATTCACTATATAATAGTATTAGTTATCCTCAAGAATTTATTATAAAAATTCTCGAAACGGCCAATGCAAATTTGAAGCATATTTTTTTAAATTTATATCTCCCAATTCCATCTGATATATTTACAGCAATTTTAAATTCTTGTACAATGGTTACCAAATTAACTTTGCATGATATAAGTATTGAACAAGTAATAGCAATATTTAATAATAATTTTAATGAATTAACGAGATTTTCATTTGATTATAATGGATTGGATGCTAATAAATTATTATGTCAAATGGCTGAAAGTGTACCAGTATCACTTGAAACTCTTGTAATTAGAATGGGAATATTTAATGCTGATAGCTTAAGAAAATTTTTTGAAGGGTGGTGTTGTGAAGGAGGAGCGGGGAATAAAAAGATTATTGTAAAACGTACTGAACAAGCACGACTATTTAAATTAAGTGATGAACATCTTGAAGTTATTGAAGAATATGGAGTGAAGTTTAAATTGATATAGATCAAATCGGAAGATGTATTTAGTTATAGTTATTAATGAAAATAATTTATTAAGTAATATTGTTTGATATTATTTATAGCTTAAATTTCTATATTATCATATCGATTTTATTGTAAAATTAATGTCAACATTGAACTAATTAATTTAACTAATTTATTATGGAATATTTACATTTAGATGCGACATAAAAGTTAACTAAATTGTTTATTATTATATTTAAATGAAGTGTTTAGTTGCTTCGAAATTTAATTTTGGTTCAACATAGTATAATAGAATAAACAAGAATTTAGGATCAGAGGCATTTTATTAAATATCTTTTTTTTTTTAAAATAATGGAGCCTTGCTCCAAGATGTTTATTAAAATGAAAAATAAATACAAATTTTATTAACAAAGAAGAAGCTTGCTAAAATTACGGAAAATTCAGCTATTTTTAAAAAATAACAAGTAATCCTGTGTATTTTACTCCATTAATGAACCTTAAGAAAGCCATTGTTTCGCTTAATAAACTTCTATGTTAAGAGAGGTGCACCTTTCTGCTGTATTAGAACCGAAATGAATTCTAAGTTGTCTCTGCGTGCTGTCGAACATTTTCCGATTACTAGATTTACCTTCCCCTTGCACTTTTTTCCATTTCCCTACGTTTTGCTTTTTCCTTTATAATGAATCTCTCACAACAATAATTCCATATTTGAAATAAATGAAGCCTGAATTGCTGACTAATATAACTTTGTGTAATATATATTGCTAATTTATTTAATAAATTAACAAGTCTGGGTAAGTTTCCCTTATGCATATGATAATTAATTTAAATATATTTAATCAAAACTTAGTTATTTAATATTTTTGTTATTAGAGTCATTGTCTCTATGATGTTCCATGTTTATGGAGTTATGGTCACTCGTAAAAAAGAAAAGCATCAATGACTTTGATCTTTGACAACTACTAACGAATTTACGGGCAATTTTTACAATTTTAATCTCTTTTCCATATTTATTAGATTTAAATAATTTAATTTCAAATAAAAGATATTATACCTTTATTTTAAACGTACATTAATATATTTTCAAATTTTAATTTAAATAAAAATAAATTTTATTGCTACCTTTGCATAAGTATTATTATTTTATTAATATAAAAAACATAAATAAATTTAATTTCTCTATAAATTATATAGACTCACAATGATCTTTAATCTTTAATATAAAGGACAATACATATTTTAAGGATTACATCTGTTATTTAGTTATTTTTAGCCTCCCATATGTAATTATTTGTTTCATAAATTTTATATTTATTTTTCAAAATTATACATGTCTTGGAGTAGGCTCCTTTGGCTAAAAATAAAATAGATTATATATGTGTGAAATAAAAATTATAATTTAAATACTTATGGGCACATGCTAGTATAATATAAATGATAATAGGTATATTTATGGAGTATCAACTACTAACAAATTTTGACTCAAAGAATTCATCCATTGTGGCTAAAATTTGAACTTTTTAAAAATTTATTTTTCATCAAAACACTTCAAAATTAAAAGAAAAATGTATAAATTTTTCAATTTAAAATGTACTCACCATGAGAAAAAGGGTTATTTAAAGTCAGATTGGATCAGATTTTGATATTTTAATTCTTAATCCTGATTCAGATTTAAATCTGAATCCTATTTTATTATTTAAATAAAATTTAATAATATTCATTGAAAATGAAATATTTACTTATAATATATGCTTACTTAATGATATTGTCAACAGTTGCATTGGGTGATGTGTGTTTTCTACATAATAATAATTAAAATATGATAAGTGTTTTTGAAGTGCATTAAAGAAAGGATAATTCATATCTTTCCAATGAAAAAGATCAGAAAGAAAAACAAGAGGAGCTTTGTTATAACTTTTTATTTCCATCTTTAAAAAAAAAAGTCCAAATGCAAAAGATAGTTTCCACATATTCCTCAAATAGTCCTGATCTAAATAAAACTGCATAAATGTCAATTACTGCTGGAATCCAATTATCAAGAAGATCAATTGTAATTTGATATTCAATATCTTTACTATCATTTTGTAAGTTCTAATAGGAAATCAATTCTCCATGATCAAGGTTTTTTTTTGCTAATTTTTTGTTTTCACCAAAAACAAAATGGAATAATCTTTCAAAAAAAAGAGTGGTGTACAAATATTACTTGTTCTCTGCTATTTAATGATACATGTAATGGACCTAACATTGATCAATTATAAATAGAACAAGGACTTGAAAATTTTTACATGTACAACATAATATCCTATTCCTTCTTCTTCATCTTTTTTGTGGCTGAAAGAGAAAGAAAAATAGAAAAAAATAAAATACTCAATAAAGAGTATAAAATGTCACTTGCGTCAACAAAATTCGTGTACAATATACATCATCAGGAAATTTTAAGAACTGTAAATTTGCGCAAATTTTATGTAAAATTTATTTAGATCCCAAATCAATTGCTCCAAACTCACAACAGTTCCTGATGCCTAGTTATATATAGAGTCATGATTGTTACCACATATGAAACTAAAACTATATTAAGTAACCTTAAATACAAGAATGAATTTCATATAATATAAAAAGTACAGACTTATACTATCAAAATTGAGTGAATAATTGCCACTTTAAATTTTTTCATCTGTTCTCCATTTTTTCATAAGTTCCAAGGCAATGTTTCAATTTAATATGACAATTCTCTAATCAATTATTGTCCAGTGCAAAAAGATTTGCTCCTCAAAAAAATATTAATAAAAAATTTTTTTATTTATTAAACTTTTTTTTTTTTCTTTAAATAATATCAATACATGTTCAGAAGTATGATATATAAATTTTATATGGAATTTATGCATCATCATCAGAATTATCATAGTTATCAATTTCTTCATTGATTAATTGTAGATTTTCATCAGAATCAAAATATTCCTTGGCATTTTTAAGTGCTGTTCTCCAAAATCCAACTATAACATGTGAATTATTTTTATTTTTAAATGCATTTAAAAGTGTATTTCGAATAGATAAAGATTTGTATGTGGACCTAAGCTTGCAACTTCACCCTTTACAACTGCCCAAATACCTTCAAACGGTTGAAGCTCACAGTGATAAGGAGGAGTAAAAAAATCTTGATGAATGTATTGTTTTGCTATTTCAACACAAGAAAATGGTACTTTTTCTTTGTTCATTTGAACCAGTTCATAAAGCTCCAGTCTTCTTAATTCACTAGAAAAAGAAATATTATGGGCGATTAGCCAATCAACAATTTTTTTTTTGTGCTTGATATTGGAATACTTTCAGTTCACCATTTATGATAGCTTGCCCCATTCATAAGAATGTCTACCAGTCCATATTTTTCATGAAGTCATATTTTTCATGAAGTGTTTTACAAGGGGTCAAAAAAGGCTTTTAAAAATTTCTGCATTAAAGTTTCCATGATAATCTATCTGATTAGAAACAATATTGGAATATCATTCCATTCTTCAGCATAGTTTCTTTTTCTTCCTCAGTTATTTGGGAGTTTAATTGCTGGATCTCAAATATGAACAGAGTTTGGAACAATTTCGCCATATAGCTTATTGGAAGACCCATTTCGAAATATAGCAGTTGCTTCAAAAATTACTACTAACGGACCATGTCCTGGTGTTAAGACAACACCTTGATGAGGAACCCATATATTTTGTGAAATATGATGAAGATGACAATATGATTCATCAAGAAAAACTTCTGGACGATGTGGAATATTATTTTTGCCTTCTAAATTAGCAAAACAGAAACGAAGATAGTGGCAACGAAATGAAATATTATTTGGTGACTCGTGAAGAAGATTTCTTCATTCTCCTTGACCATAGTAATAGCCCAAGTTATGTAATAGACGTAGAAGCTACCATTTTGAAAATGCATAGCCTTGTTCAGAAAGAAACTGATGTAGAACAGGTGTGAAAAGTTGTTCAGCCATTTTATTTGCCTTCAAAATTTTTGTGCGCAAAAGTTCTGCATCATTTTCATCAGGCTGAAATTTAGACCATCCAAGGATTTTTGGTGGAGTAAATGTACTGTCATTATGCCTGTTCCAGTCTGCTACCACACTTTCAACTGTTCTCTCAGCAACACCCAACACCTTAGCAACTCGCTTGTGTAATGTAAGTGTTTGATGATCTTTTTCTATGGAATTAGCCCTGGAAAAGTAGTTGTAAATGTTAATTACCATTAGTTTTTCATTTTCTGTAAGTGGCACACCACTTCATTTTAAAGGAGATGGAAACATAGTAAGTAAAAAAATTTTGGCAACAAATACCTTTGGTTATGTTGTGCAAAACCTGTGAATTTCAAGCCATCATATTAGTTGCTCAAAATTTTTTGTTTGAATTAAATTGAACCTTTTTCTGGTGAGGAGCAAATATTTTTGCACCAGAGCATATAAAATAATCAATATAAATTATATTACAGTGAGTGAGTATTTAGATTCATAAGTATTTAAATCAATGCTTCAATTTAATTCAATGTCAAATAACAAGTCTTTAATTAATTATCAATAATATTTTTTAGAAAATGTAATTAATGTCATCAATATAATATTGGATACAATTGGTGCCATCATGTAATGCTAAAGATTTCAAAATGAGTTTGATAAATGGACAGGTAATAATAAAAAAATTGATAAATTTATTCAACAAATACAACTAAAGGCAAATAAAATTTGAGAAATTATTGAGTGGATTCCATTTGAAAAACTTGAGAATGTCACATACCTTGCTAAAGGAGGTTTTGGCACAGTATACAAAGCAAAATGGCTTGATGGACCTATTCATTATTTTAGTGATTTTGAAAAAAATGGAGAAGATCTGGAGAAACAGATGTTTGCTTAAAAGTTCATGATAATTCCAAAAATTAAAATGATTTTTTGCAAGAGGTAAATATTTCAGCATTTAATTTTCATTATATATATATATATAGAATAATTATATTTTATGTTAATAAATATTTTAGATTAAAAATCAACTAAAATTACAAGGTAAAAATGCAGTTGCATTATATTGCATCCCTAAAAATTCAACAAAAAATGAGTATAGGATGGTTGTGAATTATGCAAAAAATAGTAGTGTTTGAAAACTTTTGGATAGCAAGCTTGAAGAATTGACTAGGAGAAGAAAATACAATATTTTATCAAATATTGTGGATGGGCTTAAAATATCAATGAAATGGGTTTAATGCATAAAGATTTTCATTCTGGTAATATAGTTAATCAAAGTTTTGTTTATTGTTTTATTACAGATTTCGGATTATGCAGACCAGTTTCAGAAAATGACCTAGAGAATATTCATGGTGTAATTCCATACATCATACATGGTACTTGAGACATTGAATAAAGAATACACTTAAACATCTGACCTTTATTCTGGTTATGCATGAAGTTCTAACTTGTTATCCACCATATTATAATATTCCATATAATAAAAAACTTGCAATGGGCATTTGTGAAGGGCTTAAACCTGAAATTAAGTGTGAAATTCCTCAATTTCTCAAAGACATAATGGAAAAATGCTGAATTTTGAACTCTTGATCGCCCAACTGCTGAAGAATTGAAATCGCAACTTGTTAAATATCTTTCTAAGGATAAAAGAAATGAGAAAACAAACAAGCAAACAAGTTAATGCAGAAATCAATTAAAGATAAATTTTATTAAATATGAATATCCTGAAGCAATATATACAAGTAGACATTTGTCTTTCCTGGATTCTAAGAAATTTGAAATCAATACACATGGTAATTACCTATATTTTTAGCAATAAATAAATGAGAATTTATATAAAATATAATATTTACATTCATTATTATTTTAGATACAAAATAATGGGAGTTTGAAGTTCCTAATGATGATATAGTATTATATTTTATGAATTATTTGTTTAATGATTGTTTTTTAATTTATCTAAATGGAATTAATAATCTTTAAATTTGCATAGTTGAAGGAATTGAAGAAATGAAATTCTGAAAATTAAACATTGGTTTTTTGAAATTTTTATTTTTTTATCCTTTAAAAATTGTGCATGCATATTTTCATTTTCATGTTTTATTAAAAGTTTATATAATATCAAACCAATTAAATGAATTTAGATTGCCACAAAATTTTCATGTTACGCTCGCCATAAGTATTGGAGGGCTCATAAGAAAGAATATTGGGAACAAAATGGAGGTGCATATCACAGGTCAAATAAAAAGATTCGCTGTACCAATTGGTGATTCCTATATTACAGATCAGCTAAAAATTGCTAAAATTGACTATCCTGGTGAATCCTATTATAAATCAGCTAAAATCTGAATTCGGTATGACAATTCTTTTGTATTCGACCAGTCCAGTGTATATAGTTGCTTGACGAAACCTCTGGGTTTAGACAAGCCTTCAAAAGTCGAAATTGCCGAAACTTTAATAAAATTATATAAAAAATCAGTTGAAACTTACTAATTTATATTAAACTGTTGAAACTATATTCGATGTTTCGTCAAATTCAAAACAGGTTTCATCAAGCAATTATAGGTGTATATGGTTATTTTTTAATTTAATGTGAATTTTAACTAATTCGTGATTGTTAGTGAACATCATGTGCTATCATTAATAAAAATGTTATTTTAATATTTTTTTACAGATGTACATATAAAAAAAATGCATGCAAATGGGCAAATGGAAAATAGTCAGTATTTTTCAGAATAAAGAATATCAAATGTCCAAAAATTATTCTCTGGAATTTAATCATTAATTATTCACTCAATTTTATTGAATATGTCCAAATTGAACCTTCTTGGAATTGGTTCTATAAATTTTGGGTCATTATTACCTATCTTCTTGAGGTAATGTTAATTTGTGGATCATCTAATTTATTTTTTTTAAATACTTTTCCTTGAATTTTCTTTTAAATATTTCCTAACTCTTGGTATTAGATCTGTCATGGATGGATCTTTAAAAAATTGATACCTTCTTTGAGATTGGATCTGTGATATTGGGATTCGTGTATGTATCTAAATTCTTTTTTAAAAAATTACTTACCTTCTTGTTATCTTAGAAGATATTTGAGTAATTTTTTATGCTACCTTATTAAAGATCTGGGATTCTGGGTTCGCGAATTTTTTATTACTTAAATTTTTTAATACTCTTTTATTTCTTGGTACCTATTTTATAATTTCAGATTTAATAGGTATTGTAGTATAAGTAACACTAAAAAAGAATAGAAAATCATTTAAGTAAGGTCAAAATATGCAAATTTATGAAGTACAAAATTTTAAAATCAGGACTCATATTTTTATTATTTTTTATTAACTTGGTAATTGAATTCTAAATTTATATTTTTTCTTTCATATTTTAGATAATAAAAATAATTATAATTTTATTCAAAGAATTTGAAAGGTTTGGCTACATTAGTTAATATTAAGAAACGAATACTTTAGTCAAAATTAATAAAAGAAACTAGATTTCATTGGTGATCAAGATGAAGGCGATGTCATTTATTTGTGAAATTATTTCACTATAATTATCCATAATTATTTTCTCTTTGTCATTTATGAGTTTATATCAATTTGGAATTCTACCCTTTTTGTTTATAAAGTTTGCTTGTATGTGTGGCCATTCCATTACTTTTTTAAGCTCAAGACCTAGAATTTGTTCTAAGCATAAAATTTTCTTTTCTCTTAAGCTTTTTCTATGTGTTTCAAATTTTTGTACATTTTTTTCAGTACTATTTCTATTAATATTTTTCCACTTGATGAAATCTTAAGATTACATTAATCCCCTTTAATTTGGTGCAATTTAATTTTTTTCCTCTTACATAAATTAATTATTGATGCTGTAAGGTTACTTCCTTCTGTAATTTTTATTAACTTTTCTGTTTCCAGAAATGATTTATCTGTCCATAAGAAGTTAAGAAATTGTTGCAATCTTATATTAGTGTTATTCCTAATACATCTGTTTTAGACACATTGAATTAAGTCTGTTGCATAAATTTTCTGATAGAATTATATCATTTAATAAATATTCAATTGCTGGACATAGTACCTGGTTGATTATATATATATAACTTCTTTGTCTGTTCCTTTTACATGTTAGTATTCTACAAATTTTTTTCACTTTCTCTTCTATTAATTTTTTTGATATTGTTTTTTCCATTTGTTGACATCCAAATTCCCAATATTCTCACATGTTCATATTTGTTTATTGCATTTATTTCTTCTCCCATGTATTCAATAGATCTTTCTTCTTTGTTTTTAGATGTGTCATTTATACAAATAAATCTGGCTAAATTCCTGGCTCAATTCATATTGTACCTACTATCCTTCATCACAGCCATTTGGAAAAGCACTTAGAACATAAAGCAGCTAAACAAATTATCTATTCTAATTTTACATATTCCCAAAATTGATTTTTGGTTTTTGGGGTATTTCAACTTTTGAGATTTATGCAGAATCTATTCTATATATAGAAGTAAAAAAATCTCTAGTTAAGTGTATATTTAATTAAAGAATTTATCTGGGTAGTCAAAAAATTTTAGATTTTAATAAAATAATTTCATCTTCTATGAAAAACTATTTTGACTTTTTTTTCCAAAATTATAATTTTGGGGCCCCAAAATAATTTTGCATGCAAGTATAATTCTGATCATGAAGCAGAATAAAAATCACAAAGAATAATGCTGAGATCACAAAGCAGGATAATTATAAAGAGGTTTTACACTAAGAAGTCACAAAGGGTTTGAATTATTATTTGTCACAAAGACTTTGATAATAATTTATTACTAATATTGAGTTTTAAATTTCTAACCTGTTCAATTCTTAAGTTATTTCAAAACTGACCTTCTCAAAGGTGGAGAAAACCCATACTTTATATAAATTAATTTCTTTGAAATAATCTTTGAAATAATGATAATCAGTGTTACAAATGTACATCAAAGAATATTTCAGAATTTCTACAAAGACTATTTTTAGTAATGAATTGTAATTGGTACTACATGACTAAATTAATATACTAATAACTATAAAACTATAATAATAAACATATATAAGAATAAAATAATAAATAACAAATAAATACTATAATAAAAAAATAAAATAAATAAAGTAACAGCACTACAACAAATTAATTTATTATTATCAAAATCACAAATCAATTTGACATATCTTCATATTACTATTTACAATGTATCTCTTTGGGTTCTATCTAATAAAGTTTTCATCAATTAAAACAAATTTGAACTTTGTTTTATTAAGGTCCAATAATGTATTAAGAAATTATAGATGGATCATTAAATGATGAATTTATTTATTTTCTCTCAAGAGCATATCTGAATTTAATTAATTCAAAAATCTTGTGAATCTATATCTATCAAATCTCTTTTCAATATTCTGCATTCATCTCTTGCTTCAAATATGGTAGGAACTATGGGATATTCCAAAAATTAAAGATAATTGACATTACATTCTGGAATACTTGGAGCTTTTTTTGATCTGATCTTAATACAATGTAACACTTCACAGTTATCCTCTAAATGTAAATAAATCCTTAACTATTATGTAGATACCATGATACTCTATAATCATTAAAATAATTATTAATACTTGATGACTATTGTTACATTTTTATAAAATTTAAAAATTTATAATTAAAAATCACATTTTCAAAGTTATATTTTCTAATATAGAATTTTATGACCTATCTATATATTGTGTGAATCCTACTGTGGCAAAATAATTTCGTGAGCATATGGATTATCACAGGGGTGATAAATGGTAACACTAAGATGATTGTATGAGGATAATGATGTGGTGTCATCCAAAAGATAATGTATGAGGATGAAAGATGGAGAACAAAGGATGACAGGTAAGATTTGAATGAAGATGAAAAAGTATAAAAGAAGTAGTATTTTTTGTAGTCTTGAGAGAGTCTTCGTAGTTTCTTAGACTTCAGTTAACCAATAATTACAGATAGTTTCAAATATTAATATTATTAGATAGAAAAGTAAAATTTATTTAGGAACAGTGAAATAGATATGTAATCTGTGATATTTAGATTGTTAAATGATACTCTACTTTTAAATTTGTACCTTTATATTTTAATAAACTTATCTTTTGTGTTACGATATTGCAAAATATTGTTAAATATTATTTGATACTGTGTTAACACTTTTACTACACCTTACTCACTGAGCCTTCAGATTAAAAATGAAGAATTAAAAAGAATTAAAAAGAACTATATTACATTTCTTATCTGTTTTGAGATAGGCAAGTTTAGATTGATGGATTACTTGACCTACTGGCAGATAGAGCATATTAAAAAATTAGTTTGTGTGAGACAAACTCTGAGACTTATAGGCGACTCTGCACATTTGTGACACTACCATCATTTCAATTAAATGTTTTTTAATTAACGCTTACAATTAGTTCAATTTAATGTTGATCTTAATGATAAAATCAATAATAAATTATAAAACTATATCAGTGAATGAAATTGAATTTTTATAAAAATTCAAGAATCTATAGCCACTGAAGAAACTTCTTTTTTTTGAAAATAATTTTTTTGTGAATCCAAAATTTTCTGCTATAATACATTATATGAAAACAGCTTTTCATAAAAAATTTCAATATCATTTGTTTTCCATTATTTAGTAATTATAAAAATAAAAATTTAATATTGTATATAACCCTTTATTTACAATTCTATTAAAAATAATCAATGTATTTTACTTTCGTTGATCTCCGTCTGCTCATTTCGATCACACATACAACACCTTAAGAAAAACTCCTCACCTAATTTGTAATCTTTTGAAATATAATTTTATATAATGCAAAGGAAGGAAAGAGAGTCAAAAATTCCGTTGACAATTTTGGATCAAAATTATAAGAAAAATTGATAAGATCAAACAAACAAGAGCTGATTGCATTAGTGTAGTTATATTTTTCAGTGGGTTCAGTTAAAATCTTTATAATCTGCTACAGACTTTTGCAGATTATTTTCTTCTTAAGTTTGACTTCTGACCTTAAAGTTTTTTATGAAACACAAAGTCTTTAATAATTATAACCATTATTAGTGCTTAAATTTTAACCATATAACGATTCTCGCCTGTAATTTGAATTATTTTTTATTTTTTTTTATTTATTTATTTTTCTTATTTTTATTTATCTTTTTTCTGTTCTATTTAATTATATAAATGTACATAAATACTTAATATTTGCAAAATTGCAAAATATACTAAAAATTCGAGCTAATAAAATTCCCCTGAAGCGCATTTTTGTCTATTCTTTTAAATTGTGTTGAGTCAAACAAAACATTTAATAGTTAAGTAATTTATTTTAAATAGAGGATAAATGTTGATTTCTCCATAATCATTAAGATAATTATTTATATTTTAAAGTAAAATGACAACATTTATTTTTCGACTTACTATTTTTAATTAAATTAGTTTGATTTTCATGTTGATTTTTAGCGATAAAGTCAATAATATTTGTTAAATAAAAAAATTTAAGCCATAAAATAATAAATCATGCAAAACTATATCAAAGCTTATCAAACAGTATTATTTAAAAAAAAATTTCGTTTATAAAATTATCATCTATTGAATAACCGTTGATTTTAGTACATATCATTTTATTATATCACTTAACAAAATAATAATCAATTTAATTAAAACGCATAACTCAACATGCTATAACTACATATTTTTTTCTGGTTTGACATTATAAAAAATTATTTGAAATGTTATTCGAAATATTATTCTTCTATATTAACTTGAACACCATATTCTTCAATAACTTTACGATGTTCATCACTTAATACAAATAGTCGCGCTTGTTCTGTACGTTTTACAATAATCTTTTTATTTTCTCCTCCTCCTTTATAACACCATCCTTCAAAAAAAATTCTTAAACTATCAGCAGTAAATCTCCCCATTCTAATTTCAATAGTTTCAAGCGATTCCGGTACATTTTTAGCCATTTGACATAATAATTTATTAGCGTCCAATCCTATTTCACAATTAAATGAAAAACTTCTTAATTCATTAAAATTATTATTAAATATTGCTATTATTTGTTCAAGATTTAAATTATCCAAAGTTAAATTGGTAATCTTTGTACAATAATTTAAAATTGCTGAAAATGTATCTAATGTAATTGCAGAATATAAATCTAGAAAAAGATTTTTTAAATTTGTATTGGCTGCTTCGAGAATTTTTATAACAAATTCTTGATGATACCTTCCAAATTTATCTATGAAACGAAAACTGCTTAATTGATTAAATGACGAAGCAAAGAATAAACTATCACTACCCAATCTACACAATCCATGACAATTTTCAATATTAAGTTTTTGGAGCGAAATAAATTGTCCAATTGGTGATTTCCCCTTGAAATAATAAAAATTTACAGATTTTAAACAAAGACTCTTTAATGTTTCTTTCTGACTAATGATAGCCCAAAATAATAAATCATGACTTTCATATCTATAAGCAACAATTGATAGATTTTCTAAGCGTTTTTGAGCAATAATAAGTTCTGCTAAAGATTTTGCTTGAGAATTTGAGGACAAATCCATATTTAAAATATTATCAGAAATTAATGCTAATGATTCATATAATGGACGAATCCGTTCATCTCTTATTATCGAAGAAAGACTTTTTAATTTCTTAAATACTTTTGGGGCACCAGGTAACTTGAGAATTGAACCTATTAAATCACTATAATTTAGAAAATACGGAGAAAATTTTTCGGGGACTCTCGCCAATTTAAAAGAATCCAGAAATGAACAACTATTTATTATTAATTTACATATCTCATGAAATAATATTCTCGATTTTGTGATGATGATTTCGTTATTATCATTGTTGTTATTATCTTTATCTGAATTAATAATTTGTTGTGAATATAGGGAAACAAAATAAATTAAATTATCAATTCTAAATTTATGAGTGAATGATGGATAATCAAAAGTGGCTTGAGGTGGCGATGACGCTAAATCAAATCCATTTTGTTTAAGTAAAGTTCTAGCTTGAGCATCCACACATGATATATAAGTTCGAATACATAATGCTTTCTTATTCATCTTCTTATTATCCATACACTCTTGACCCAAAGGTAACTCCCAAAGTATAGGTATAGCAACTTTACACCAGATTCGATTAACTAATAAGGATGAATATAAATCTTGAGTTGAACGAGGTGATTGAACATTATTTAAAATCATAATCAATAATTCTATGGAAATTTTAGTTGCCATTTTTTCCTAAGAAATAAATAGAAAAAAATTATCGTATCACGTTTATATAATATTTGCAATTCATTAGTGTGTACGGTTCACAGCATACTCACCCTATAATAATGATAAGCGAAATTGTGCTTATTTATATTAATTTTTTTGTGGCGGATTGTGCGATGCAAACAGTTTCCCGTTATGATTGGTGATGTTTGCTTTTTTTACATTTATTAATACATTTGTTATTGTAAAGTATCATTAGGAGTTTTTTTTTAACGAACCTGCGTTTTGGCGTATGGAATTTATTATTATTGATGCAAAGAAATCAAAAAATTCTAAATTGATATTCAACAGGTGACATAGAGTACCAAATTATTGCTCCTGAACTAACTCTGACCCTTGGATTTAGTCATATTATAAATAAAGCCAATGCTTATTATTATTAATTAAGAGATTGAGAGAAAAAGAGGAGGAAATTCTTAACCCTTAGAATAAGGCTTATTTAAATATTACATTAAAAAAAAAAAATTAAATAAGATAAAAAAAATAGAAATTTTATTCTAGTGTTTCTTTTTTTCATGTGAGAAAATTTTTTTTTCTTATGCAAAATAAACATTGATGCCGAATTTTCATTTTTCAATTAATTAAATAATCGATTAAAATTTCGTTTATGCAATCTCATTTAGTTAGTTGATGGTTTCTATCAAATTATTTACTTGTCTTCTCATGATTTGAGTTTTTTTTCGAATATATCAGATTTTTTTTGATTTGCTATATGGATCAATCTTTTGTTGTTGATGCCGTGCCGTTTAAAATTTTTTCCTAAATATCAAAATGCTAAACTTTTTTTTCATATTATAGCTTTCTATCCAAGAAATATTACTAGGGATAATATCATAGATCGTTTTGGTAAAGATATTGGTAATATTCAAAAAATATTCTTTTAGATGTTGTGACAGCAATTTATATACAGTATTTATACATTATTTTAAAAAACACTTGTATAGTTATTACTCTTGAGGAACAAAACTTACCCAAGTCACGTCAATCAGTTGTACTAACTGGAGTGATTTCTAATAACATAGGAACAAATAATTATAGAGTTACTCTGTATATAATAGTCAAAAAATATATTAATGGATAGAAATCTGGCAACAGAACATTCATTTTCTTGGTGGAAATAACCTTCACAAAATTTCACCCAAAATTACGCAAGCTTTGTCTTTTTATGCGCGGGTAAAACAAGAACCATCATCATTAACACCACAGACGGAATAAATAGAAAATTAATTTTAATTTTAACTAACTCAACAAAAAAAATAGAAAAAGTAATCAAGTGTCTCAAAATTATTAAAACTTCCAAGACTTACTTTCTTTTCACTTTCTCTGGATACTGAGGATTATATTCAAAATAAAACCAATTATATCCGAAGAAACAAAATGAAGAACAAATTTAAACTTTTTTGTTTAGAATTTTTTTTTAAATAAGACCTCCATGAAATTTTCCAAAAATTAAAGATAATCAATATTATAATCTGGAATGCTTAACGCTTTTTTTTTGGATGATTATCGATCTGATCCTAAATAACTTTCATCGCCATAAATAGCCAAAGCTGATTGGTTACATGATAATAATCCCTTATTTCATCTTCTCTATTTAAATCAAAATAGTATTTCCAGAAGTTCCGCCATTTAGACAAGGTGATATAATTGTGACCCTTCTAGTTTTTCTAGATGAAATCCATGATGAAGATATAGATTAATAGCAATATCAAGCTCTAATATTTCTTGACTTATTTCCAGATGGACACAGTCAATCATCAATCTCGAATAGATACATCAAACACATATAAATCCTCGATTTAAATTTCATTATTACTGGCCAAAATGACATATTTGCAATTAGAAAACTCACAAAACTCACGTAATAACAAAATTATCAATGCAAATCACACTGATAATTTTTACCATCCGCCTATTATTATCGTATACTAAAAACTATAAATGTTGTAGTGTTCCTATTTCTGAAAATTGAAAAATGTGAAGTGTCATTGTTAATATTCTTTAAAAATAATTCCTTCAAAATATATAATTCTTCTCACGAAAAAAAAAACTTACTTTTTTTTTTATTAGTAATTATAATTATTTATTTGCATAAAATAATATCATTTGATTTTTTTATTTTCGTCTCATCAGCATCTTTTTTATCACAAAAAACTTCTTTAATTTTAACAATATCTGCTTTATCAAAACGATCTCCCTAGTAATATCTTTTGGATAGAAAGTTGTAATATAAAGAAAAATATTAGTATTTTGATATTTAGGAACACCAACAACAAAATTAGGATTTCATTGTAATAAATCAAGTAAAATCAGATTCAAAAAAAAAACTCACATGAGAAGAAAACTAAACCATTTGACAGAGGCCATTAGTCAAATTACTTAACATAAACGAATTATTTTATCACTTAATAAAATTTACTCAATTATTAATGCTTATTTAATTATTAAATCATTTATTTTTTTATCAATAAATCAACAAAAAAAAATGAAAAAAAAATTGATATCAAAATCAATTTTGTGTAAGGAGAAAAAAAATTTTTTCTCACGCGAAAGAAAAGAAATTAATAACTAGAAAGAAATTTTTTTTTAAAAATAATCTTATTCTGAGAGGAAAGAATTTCCTCTCTATCTCTCAATCAGGAGATTTATAAACTGTAATAATATTATTGATTACGTGCATAAATTGAATTTATATGCCTAAAAAAATTTCTAGCAATAATAAATTGATTAGATGTTTTAGATATTTACATAAATAGATATCGAACAGCAAGGTAACACCACTAATCATAACAAGAAATTTTACACAACACAAATATAATAATGAGTTGTGTATTTTGATTATTTATTTGGTAACCATAAATCACGAGCTGAACTATTGTGGCAGTCTGCCTTGAACAGAGTGTAAAATTACAGCAATCAGTCTCACTAAATCAAATTTGTATCACACCTCTTAATGTACACAACACTTCGAAACTACATTATACTTCCTGTTAGGTCTCCCTACCTAATTTCGCAGGTCATATATAATATTTCGCAACTGTATACTATTCTAGTCAGGCTACAACCTGATTACGCCAGTCAAGTACTACAGATATTCTCACACAATTACACACACTGGAATGATCTGAAGGTGCATGAGCAAGTGGAGTAAAAGTATCTTTACTGACTTGTTCCACAAACTTTTGAATCTTAGGTATTAACTTTATGCAGTAACTTTAATCAAGAAATTAAATAGTTTATCAAATTTATTGCAAAAAAAAATTAGTAATAGAGGTATTGTGGTGTGGTCTGCCCAGAACAAAGAATAAAGTTATGTCAATCAGTTCCACTAAATTGAACTCTCGTCACACCCCTTTTTGTACTAACTCAACATACTCTTGTATGCAATATTTCATAATGTCCACTATTCACCAGTAGGATCAAGCAGTCACTTGCCTACTTGCAATGAACAGATATATATAATAAACTCTAACACAGTACACACAGATGTGATCTGAAGGTACATAAGTAAGTGGAGTAAAAGTATCCTTTTACAGCTCACTATGCAAACTTTCAAATCTTAGCTTCAAACTTTATTTAGTAATTTTATTCAAGAAATTACAAAATTAATAATAGAGGTATTATGGGCTGTTAACCATTTCTCACCAGTATTACCATTATCACAAAATAAAATATTTAAAATGTATCAAATTATTACAGAGTATGTTGAAACTATTAAACTTATTGCAAGGATGTAACAACAAAAATATATTACTGCTTTGGTCTTATCTATGTTGCTAAATTGAAACAATATGTTTCTATCTTTATTATTTAATTTTTATTACAAAATGTATACCAAAAGATTATTTATTATTTTATTACAAATTAAGTAAAAGATTTTTATAATTATTTGAAATGTACCAAAAGAAAATTAAAAATTATAAAAATTGCAAAAATAAGTTAATCCCTCTTACATCCTAAATTACCAGTTTATTTTATACACTTTCAAACTTGTTTTTTTTCATCCTTTGTTGTCACGTCTAAATACTGCCTTTTTTATTTTTAAAGATGACACACAAGGATGAAGAACAATATATAAGGATGAGAAATCTGTCATCTAGATAGTAATACACTTATCCTGGTTACACCATCATCTTACTGTTATCTTCTGTGACACTCGTAATACTTTGAAATCCTGTGCACATCCCATGTGGAATTTGTGCACCCTGTTAACCTTGATTTACCTTTTAAAGAAACCAAAGAAAACTAAGTGACTGGTAATGGGAATTGTATTTATAGACTTTAAACACTATAACAATTAACTACAGTTGGACGGGTATTACTTTTAATATAGTAATTATAAGAAGGATTTGGGTAAGGCAGATTTGATCGAAAGAGGATAAGGTGTGAGGTTTTATAAGGGATTTACTAGCTAAGTCACGAAGACAACAAAGTTTCATCAAGAAATTAAACAAATTCACGAAGAACTTAATAACTTAACCTAGATCACAAAGCAGGGTTAATTATTAAGTAACTATAATACCG